TCACATCTGTCATACACACAAAGACTAAATAAACCATTTCTATTTTATTAAATGGAAACGAAATAAACACTTCTCAAAATTTGCGAAATATTTTATGTGGTTTCGACTACAATCGTCGATTTATGAATGAAAATATCGGTAAACTAGTTAGTATGCATAAATATAATACATGTGTGTGAATAGGATTTAACCGGGCTGTAATTTAAATTTATGTCAACTTATGTCATGATTGTAAAAAAAAATTGATTTTGCCAGATTTCATTGATAAAAACAGCCTGGTGAGCATTCTTGGCAATAATTAGCATAAAGTCAAAAGGGGTAGAACTTCTATCGTGATAAACCTTTCTATTAATTGATTTGCACTCATTTCAAATCAATTCTCTGAAATATTTGCCAGAAATGTCAAAAGATTGAGTTTCTTAGCAACAGCCAATAGGAGACCATGTGGTCAGCGCGAGGACAGATGTAATGGACAGGTGTCAGGAAACCACGTGCTTATCTCGCGCTCCATCACGCGCCCATTCAAGCATACTACTGTTTGTTGTTGGCTATTTAAATGCTTGGCTAATTATTTTTAAATACCCGGGGATTATGAATGAATTTCCTTGTTGTAGCCATCGACCGTTCGTAAAGGAATATGCCGGCAGAATAGCACAATATGTTTCTTTCTTTTAAAAATGATTTATGAACAATCACTTGAAAGAAAATGTTGTGTTTTGCGTGGATTACAAAGGAAATGAAATGGGGTTTTAACGTCCTACTTTTCTGCTCCGATTGGTTTAATGAAGACGGGCAATATACGCCATATATTGGGGGTTTTTTTTGGTTTTTTTTAAATGGGGTTTAACGTCCTACTGTTCTGCTAATGAAGACGGGCATACGCCATACAGTGTGCTATAAGGGAAATTTTGCCCGGCTTACTCTTATATCGAATTCCAACTGCCAAGGGATCTTTTACGTGCACGCCAATGTGTACGCGGACCTCGGTTTTTCGTCCCATCCGAACGACTATTGTGCTATGGAGTATTTTGTCCGGACAGCGGCGCTAAAGCCTACTCTTATATCGAATACCAACTGTCAATGGTTCTTGTTTGTGCACGGCAATATATACACGGAGTTTCGGTTTTTCGTCACACCCGAAAGACTATTAGCCTACTGTCGATGGGAAGTCAAAAGGTCGTATCTGGCATATTTTGCGAAATTCACTTTTTTAATTCTTCTTTTAATTTCTAAGCCAATAAAAAGAGGTTTTATAGATACTGTTTCAAAATGTCGTTTTCGGGAGTGTTCCAAATAAAAAAAAAAAAAAAAAAATATTAAGATCAAAAATGTTGTATTTTCTTGAAAAAATTAACTTTGTTTCTAACCAAAGTATTACAATCAAACGAAATATAGCCAGTATTGTTTTATGGTTAAATGCATATTATTAAAATTCTTGTTGAGTCTCTACTGTATGAAATCTATAAAAATGAAGTAGGTAAAGGTGAATATTTTCCTGATATACGTCTTTGCTGTATAAAATTACAAATAACTAGCTTTCACCCCTTATTTCTACACAAGATGTTGAGCTTGATATGTGCGGATAGTTACATACTGTTAAAATGGCTACCAATACATTTTGTACAGAAATATTTGAGAAAAACTTCAGAAATACAACATTTTACATACGACATTTTGACGTGACGGTTTTATTATAAGACATTTTGATTCTTAACCTCTGTGTGATTTTTGGCTCTCCTGGACAATTTCGCAAAATCCAGATACGACCCCTTGACCCCCCACCAACGCTATGTTGTCCCCTGCCAGGCCCTCTATCCCGCACCACTAATAAACAGGAACCACGCCGGAAAAATCAGATGAACTTTGATGGCCAAGACGCGACCTCCTGTTTAGCGGGCCAACGTCTTACTCACTGAGCCACCGAGTACAATAATTTGAAATTTTGAGACTAACACGTAGTCTTAGTCCAGGTATTTTAGTAGATACTTCATTTTTGATTGGCTAAGCACTAAAATCAATCTAATATTACCCAATCAAATTACTAAAATTTGGATTTTATCTTAGTTAAAATTTCGTGAAACAGGCCTAGATCCCCTCTTTCTGACCTCTACTGGGGTTACATCTACAACGTAATTTCGGGGCCACAACCGCTCAGTAAATCGGTGGCTGGTTCATTAACCCGCAGGTGCAGTGCCGGGTTCTATTTTGGTGTTGTCCGAGAGGGTTTCTCGGGAGTTTGCAGATGTAGTAGGGTGGTATATTCTCTTTAAGTATTTGGTGTGATATTCTCTTTAAGTATTTGGTGTGATATTCTCTTTAAGTATTTTATCCAGTTCTATTGTCCTGTATATCCAGTAAGTTTAGTTTTTCCAGTTGGTATAATTAGTTTAGTTTATAGTTTAAACATGTTATTTTAACATGGTGAGTAGTATTCGGTAACTTAGATACTATCCTAACATCTCCATCTTGGATGCATCATTTTCTGAATTCACTAACTCAGTGTTTCGCTCTTTTGTACATGTATATATGGTTTTCATCATACATTAGCTCTATAATTCTTCATTTCTTAAGAGCACCTTTAACAGGTGTTCTTGTCTTCTACTTGTTCTTCTTTCTGTAAATAATTGGCTGTTTTGTTCCTGTGTATTGTAAATAAACTGTATAGCTGTGTTCCTGTCTTTGTCTCTTTTCGTTCAACCCGCGACCTGGAAAGTGGATAGTCCGTTGTCCATCGATCCTGCTACACAGAGCAGTGGAGAACGGAGGGCATGACAAGGAGAGAGAGAGAGAGAGAGAGAGGGAGAGAGAGAGAGAGAGGGAGAGGGAGAGAGAGAGAGAGGGAGGGGGGACCACTCGACACACACTGGGTCATTTTGGGACTAACACATGTTTCAATTTGAGTTCAATATCTCGCTAGTGCGTAGGGGATCTTCAGCAGTGCGTGTTCACCAGAGGTCCCGGAGAAAACTCACGGGGTTCAACAGGCGACCCTACTCCCTGTCACGTACTAGCTGTGAATCCAAACCACACCATTTGATTTAAACAGTATTTATTTAACATATAATTTCATACCATATACAATATATAATAAATTATTTGGATTTGGAATCTAGCTATAAAAGCTTTTATTTTATGATCAGTAGTGGAATACCGCGTTATATCAGTGAAATAAAAGTGTTATTCTACTGGCTAGCAGCAGTCTATGTTGTTTATACCTAAAATGATTGTAAAATCATAAAATAAATAGAACATTTGTCGTTTTGTCGTGAATAACATATTTTATTTCATCTCTAAGCAAAAAAACGTTTATAAGTTTTCTTGCTTCTCGATGAAATAAAATATGTTATTCACTCTAAAACGACAAATATCCTCTATATATTAATCCGTCTCCAAAATAATAAACAAAATAGAATATAAAATAGCATGTCTAAATTGAAAAAAAAATAATAATATATAATTAGTATAAAGCACGAGACTATGCTGGGGAAAGAAAGACTGAAGAATATAACCCGAGGCCGAGGTTTTTCTATCGAGGTTTTTTTTTCTGAAGACTTTCTTCCCCAGGATAACTGAAGTCGAGGACTTTATCTTGATTATAAACCGTCTATGTTTACATGTACGTAAAATGAGGATATCCAAGAATTCCAGTAAGAAAAACCTTTTGTCATGTTTTCTTATAGGAAAAAAAAGAAACACACTGGAAGAATAATCCGCTACAGGTTTAAAGTTGCAATTTCATATTTTTAAGTTATATTTTTAAAATTTATTAAAATAAAGCCTTAAAATAGATGGTATCTATAAACAGTCCTACCTTGTTAAAGAATAATCCTATTAATCCTATAATTCACTATTGCCAGTTGAGAATTTGGCAAAAATATCATTTTTAACTTCAAATTCAAACGTTTGAAGATAGCTATTCCATGGGGGGGGGGGGGTTAGAAAAACAAGGGAGGTAATTGTGTTATTATTTCCGGGGTCAAATGATTTTTAAGAGGGAGAATAATGCCTATGATCGTATAATAGTGAGTTGACAACCTATTGAGCAAAAGACAGAAATAATTATGTTTTCCGGGGTCAAAGGATTTTTAAGAGGGAGAATAATGCCTATGATCGTATAATAGTGAGTTGACAACCTATTGAGCAAAAGACATAGAAATAATTATGTTTTGACTTTCTTAGAAAATATCAAATTATCGCTTTAAAGAAAAACTTTCAGAAGAATAACCCTAAATTCCCCTGTATATATCCAAAGCCGCCCACGACTTTCAGACCGCAAGTTATTCCGGGCATAGAAATGGAATGAAATGGGGTTTAATGTCCTACAGTTCTGCTCCGAACTGGGCTAATGAAGACGGGCATACGCCATACAGTGTACTTTCTCGACCAATGCAGGGATCGAACACCCGACTTTCAGTCAAGCAATGAGAGGTCGAATTAAAGAAATGTTTTTTCATCTCATTTCTTTTTACAATTATGCTCTACAGAGTTGCCTCCCATTAAAGTCTTGGAGGGATTTAAAATCTCTTGCTATCTTCAGTATTATGACAGTTGAATTTTCAAAAGAAATATCAGCCCAAAAAGTTCGCAACAGTCGACATCGTTTTGCAGAGTTCTTATTTATTCAATGAGTTCACGATGGAATAGCTACTTTCAAACGTTTGAATTTGAAGTTGAAAATGATATTTTTGCCAATTTCTCAACTAGCAATAGTGAATTATAGGATTAATAGGATTATTCTTTAACAAGCTTGGACTGTATTATGTATATAGATACCATCTATTTTAGGGCTTTATTTTAATACATTTTAAAAATATAACTTAAAAATATGAAATTGTAACTTTAAAAGTTCGCAACAGTCTACATCGTTTTGCAGAGTTCTTATTTATTCAATGAGTTCACGACTCCACGATGTCGGGCTTAATATTGTTGTTTCCGGATAATTCGTGTACTTTTATTTCCTACTTTATGTACATGCGCATTAACAACTTCCGACCCTTTTTACCACGTTCAAAATGTCTTCAACAGGAGGCGACAACAACGCGGCTTTATTGCCAATAGTGTATGATTACTTGAAAGACTCATGCCAAGAAATAGCCGATGCGTTTCAGAAGAAATTCAAGTTTGTAAGTATGCTAAAGGTTGCCCCCAGCTCTCTCGCATAACCCCACGAAACGGGCGACAAAAATGCTGTTTTCCGAAATTGGTATGTTTTCAATAACCACCGAACACGTGTTTTTAGGGATGATACTAGCGCACAGAATTGTTATAATAAATATTAGGCGACAGTGAGCCAGTTTTCTAGAAACAGGAAAATTTGTGTTAGGAAATGTTAATCACACAGAATTGTCTGAACTTTCTCCACACAAATCAGATGATATATTAAAGGCCAGGGCGTATGGAAACTTTAAATAATTAAATAGACGAATATCTAATCTTCAAAATGGTTCTAAAAAGTAAAAGCACATGTTAATGTAATATGAATGTATGTAAAGTGATTTATACTCAAAATTTTGAAAAATATATTGTAATTTCTAATCAATGTTCGTAGAAATACGTGAACACTACAGTCCAAATTGAACAACAATTCATTTACTCCTGCGTAGTCCAGTCTACACATTTTTATATTATTACCTACTAGGGGTTTTAGGTCAAAGTTTCAAATGACAGAAAAATTGTTTTTTTAAAAATATTTTGTGAAAATATACATAATATGCTACCCAGATTTTTTTATTTCATTAAAATATTCTAATTAGATCCAAAGTTTTGGAATTTTAAAATTCGAGATCGACGTCAATAATGTAATCAAAATGCTCTATACCAGTCAATGCGTGGCATGGCACCAAAATAAGCGCTTTTCAGTCATATTTGAGTGACGTCATAAGCGGTATATTCCCTTCAGAATCACTAATATCTGCCCGTTATTGTCAGCTAAGATTTATTAAAATCGTAATAATTTGAATGATAATGTCAAATATTTATAATCTGGATGATACCACAAGAAAGTATTTTATATTTAGTCGAAATTTAGCAAATTTCAATCATCAAAACAGATAAATCCTGTTTTCTATGGCTGTAATTGTCGGATATCGGGGTATATCATGCACCATAATAATCACAAAAATGTTATCTATCGTTTGATTGGTTCTATATCAAAATCCGCCGGAAAACTAAGGTGCGGATTCACCAATGAAGTGAGTCGTAGCAATAGAAAATCTCCGGCCGTGTGACGTCAGAGAGGTATTTTCCCGCGAGCGTCTCATGTAAATAAACAGTAATTCTGCCTACACTTCGATAATGTTTGAGCTTGAATCTTTGCAGATATGGAGACTGATATTAAACTATTACAATACTAGTAATTGCTAGTAATACATTTACATAAAAAAGTAATTCAGAATCGTAGATTGAAGTGGGCTATATTTCAGCCGGTGGCTGTCCGATTTCAAGCTAAAGTCACATGACCTGAAACCCCTAATTATTTTTTTATCGTTTGTGAATTAGCCTTTACTACCGTAATTGCTTTCACATTGTCTTGTAGTGTATGTTTTTATTTGTTCATTACAAAATGGCACCCGAAACCAAAGAATACAGGACTTGCGTACTGATTATAAAATGTTAATTATGCAGGGCTCAAAATTCGCTAACCTGTATCTAAGGCCATTTTTCAAAAAATGGTCTCAGACAGTGAAGCCTCTCTAAGGCCATTTTGTTCAACACCGAGGCCATTTTTTCAATTTAGAAATTATCGAGGGCCAATTTTGCTGGACATTTTAAAAATAAATAGTCTTTCATTCTTCATATTCATTTAGTAAAACGTGGACAGGTTAATCATGACAAACTGAAATAGATGTTTATAAATATATTTAGTCCTTGGATAACACTGAAATTAAAAGCTTATCTAAGTCTAGATATTTTTTGTCTCAAACTTCTAAATTACTGTATTACATCATGCGTTTAACCCCCTACAATTATTTCTTTTTTTTAAAGCACGACTGTTTGCAGATGTCTGTCAATAAAATAGTCTATAATAACAAAAGTCATCATTATTCAGACTGAGAAGAGGGAATCATATCATCAAATTTATCTCCATCACTGTCCTCAATTTCACTTTCGATTGCTAGCTCTGATTATCAAGCACTGTCTTGAACCGTAGCCTTGTTTATCACAAAAGACTTGACTAACGTCTGCTTGGTCTGCTTATCGTAGTCTTGTATAATAAGACTGTTACGTGTTACAGGCATCTGTGGAGGGGGTAAACTACGAACAGCAGTGCATAGGAAAAAATTAATCGTGGAGGTTTTTAGATCAGCCAAGTTTTACGGGAAAATGCATATCATACGTGAACTTTTTCATTTATTTTGGCTTCCGATATAGGTGCCATCGACTGCCATTTAGGGTAATTCTACGGCCAATGGCTCTAGTATTTTTATCGATTTTTTTCTGCAATTTACGACAGCAATATAGGTGCCATCGACTGCCATTTAGGGTAATTCGGCCAATGGCTCTAGTATTTTTATCGATTTTTTTTCCGCAATTTACGACAGCAATTTTTGACCCTCGATGTAAAAGCTATCGAAGGCCATTGCTAGGCAATATAACATCAGTATTGATTGAATTTGACCAATATTGAATTCTAATCCGTGTTTTTATTTTTGAATCTTATGGAAAATATTCAGTTAAGAGATTTAGCTCCTTTAAAATCCGGGGTCATGGTGGCTAAGTGGGTAAGACGCTGGCTCAAGCCTAGAGGTCGGGTGTTCGATCTCTGCATTGGCCGAGAAAGTTCATCCAGATTTTCCAGTATGGTTCCCCTTTGTCAGTGGTGCAGGACGGAGGGCCTGACAAGGACAGCTGTCTAGTCGTTTAGATGGTACGGAAAAGCTGAGGTCCCGTGTATGCCATTTTGTTTTTAGTCTTCCTCATAGTTTAATCAATGGACTATATAACTTAAATCAAAGTGCCAATATTAGACCTGTTACAGATTTTTACACCAGTCCTTCATGTTTATAAAATTGTGCGGGAGCCATAAAAAGCTCCTGATGCCTTGAATATATGCAGTTTAAAAGTAAACAAAAACTGAAAGTAGTTTATTAATCTCAATATTTAGGAGAGCGATTTAGCTAATTTGCAGGAGTCTTTAATGACTCCTTCGAAGGAAAGCCGACGTGCGTCGAGAGGAGCAGGAACGAAAGTTCCCCTTAAATGTGAAGGACGGTTAAAATAAAAGGGTGTATAAAGCTCTTTTTTGGGAGTCACAGTGGCCCAGTGATATCCCATTTGGAATTTAGTTCCTCAGATATTTTTTGTGTCCTCCACTAAATCCAATCGCAGCCCCATCATAGAACTTTCAGGAAATAGCCTACCTGTCGCCTGTTTCACATGATATTCCTGTATGTAATTAGGTATGACAAAATAAACTGACATGATAGTCAATATGGATATATTTTTGTTCATGAATATGCTTAACTAATGTAATGTCTTAACTTTTTTCATGATATATGGATGGTAATCCCAGACAGCTCACTTCGAGATCGGTTGTGGGTAGCCAGTTTGATCGCTTAAAGCCATCATTTCATTGGCAATAGGCGATCACGTGACATAACCAAGATGGATGCCACCAGCATCTCAAAGTGAGCTTCCTCTGATTAACATTGAAGAAATGTATCAAAGACGGCTACTGGTGGACATAGTTCGAAAGTTTATTTTTTTAAATTCGTCTTGATTAAAGAAATAAGAATACAGGAACTTGCACAATTGTCCATTGTAATCTTGCTGGCTGGATTTTAATATTGTCAAATTATGTTTCAGAAACCAAGTCCAAAATCTCCAAAGTTACACTCCATATACAAAGACTGGGCTGGGTGAGTAAACTTATTACATATTTTTAAAGCAACTGAGATGAATAGACACATTAAAACGACCTTCATTCTTGTTCGGCGTAATGTCCTCTTCCGCTTATTCATTATTTATCAAGTAAGGTCTGTCATTGAGTCGACTGGCATGGTTTCGATTCCCCGTTTGTACGTGACAAGGAGTAGGGTCGTCTCCCACCTCGTGGGTTTTCTTCCGGTCCTCCAGGTTCCTCCCACTGCTAAAGACTCCAAGGCGCAAGCGAATTATTGAAATAAAATTGAACCATATGTTAGTCCTGAAATGACCTAGTTTGTGTCGAGTGGACATTAACCCCTCTCTCTCGCTCTTGTCGCACAGTATAAAATATCAACTAACAATTTTGTTTTATTTTAGGAAAAGAAAAACTGAAACATTGAATGGTCCAGCAACTAAAAAAACAAAGAAAGAGGAGTCTTCTGATTCAAGGTTAGCATTAATTTATATTTAGTTCACGTTTGGATCATGTTTAGATCTGTCACTTACTGGGAGGTCTTGTGATGGCCTTGATAGTTCATCAGGATTTTTGGTGTTATGTAGGACAGAGGTCCTGGCAAGAGACAACATATAGTCCTTCTGATGATACGAAAAAACCGAGATCTCTTGTACACATTGGCGTACACGTAAAAGATCCCCTGGCAGTTGAAATTCGTAGGCTGTAGTGTCGCTGTCTGTGCAAAATTTCTCTCAAAGCATACTGCATGGCGTATTCCAGTCTTCATTAACTCGGTGCAGAACAGTAAGATGTTAAACCCCATTTCATTTCATTTACCTATTTAAAATGAACGGTAGAAAGGGGTAGCGCTGGCTACAGCTTTGTGTACTTCATAAAGTAAAACCAAGTACGAACAATCCAAACCATTAGACAAAATTCGAAGTCCTAAAAAAACGGTATAGGCAAAATAGTGTAATACGGCAAAATAGTGTAATCAGCATAAGACTTGTTATTTATCCAAAGTCATGTGTCCAATCACAGTGTGCCCATAAAAGAACCCTCGGAAGTTGGAAGAGTAGGTCGTAGCGCAAAATTTCTCGCATAGCACACTATGTCATATGCCAGTCTTCATTGTCCCAATCGGAGTAGAACTGTAGGATGTTAAACCCTATTTTATTTTCATTTCTAGGAATTGTTGTATCTCTTATGTCCAATTAATCTTGTCCTTTCAGTGATTCATCAGATGAAGAAACAACACCCCCAACTAAAAAGACAAATGGCCCAACACCAAAACAAACTCCCAGTAAACGAGGCAGAGCTTCCAGTAGTGATAGCTCTGATTCTTCAGAAGAGGATACTAAGAAAAAGGTTGTCAAGAAGCCACAAGCTAAAGTAGCAAAAGTGACACCAAAAGGTAAAGCAGCTAAAGAATCGGATTCCGACTCAGATTCAGAAAGCAGTGAAGATGAAGCTACTAAAGCAAAAGCCAAACCCAAGGCTAAAACAACTACGCCTAAAACTGTTCCAAAAGTGACACCTAAAAAAGCTGAATCTTCTGATAGTTCTGATAGCAGTGACGAAGAAGACACTAAACCAAAAGCAAAGTCTGTCGCTGTGAAAACTCCAGTCAAGAACATTGTAAAGGCGGCTGCTCCTAAAAAGGCAGAATCATCTTCTGATTCTTCAGACAGTAGTGAAGATGAAAAACCAAGAACTACAAAAGCTAAACCTGTAACACCAAAAGTTCCGGTTAAAGTAACTCCCAAGGTAACTCCTAAATCTACCCCTAAGAAGCCGGAGTCTTCTGATTCTTCATCTTCGGACAGCAGCGAGGATGAAAAACCTAAAACTAAGACAACTGCAAAAGTAACCCCTAAAGCACAAGCTACAGTTACGCCAAAAGGGACCCCTAAAGCAGCAGCAGGAAAGACAACTCCTAAAGCTCCAGTAAAAAAAGATGAATCCTCTTCATCAGACTCCTCTGATAGCAGCGAAGAAGAAAAACCCAAAACTGCTAAGGCTGTAACCCCCAAAACAGTTACACCTAAAGCAACTCCTAAAACTACCCCTAAAGCAGCTACTAAAAAGGATGATTCATCAGATTCTTCAGACAGTAGTGAAGATGAAAAACCCAAACCAGTTAACCCTAAAGCAGCAATTTCTAAGCCATCCCCAAAGGTTGCTGTAGCTGCCAAAAAGAAAGAGTCAAGTTCTAGCAGTGATTCAAGCTCTGAAGAAGAGAAACCTACCCCAAAGAAAACACCTGTTAAGCCAGCAGTTGTACCAAAGGTGGCCACTAAACAAGAATCGAGCGATAGCAGCAGTTCTGAATCTGAGGATGAAAAGCCTAAAAAACCTGCACAGTCAAAGGTAGCTGCAAAATCACCTGCAGCAAAATCAGCTCAAAAAAAGTCAGCTAAACATAGCGGGACTAGTGACTCAGACAGCGATTCATCATCAGATACAGATACAAACACAAAAAAACCTGCAGTAAAACCTAAAGTTGCTCCTAAAACTGCAGTTAAACCATCTCCAAAACCGGTGGCCAAAGCTGCTGAAAGTTCAAGTTCAGATTCAAGCTCTGAAGAAGAAAAGCCAAAGGCTAAATCAGTGGTTAAACCAGGAGCAAAGACTCCCACCAAAGCAGTGCCGACTCCCAAGATGACACCGAAAGCCAAGAAGGATTCTTCAAGTTCAGATTCTGATTCCTCCAGTGAAGATGAAAGCCGGGTCACTGAATCAATTTTAAAGAAATCAACACCTTTAGCCAAGTCCACACCAGCACCTTCAAAAATAAAATCTGTTCTCAAAAAACCTGCAACAAAAAAAGATTCCAGTAGCTCAGATTCAAGTTCTGAAGATGAAGCCCCCAAAAATAAATTAACTCCAGCAGCTAAGAAAACCCCATTAAAAACTACTCCGAAAGTAACCCCAAAAACCGCTGCCAAGAAGGACTCTTCCTCCTCCTCTAGTTCAGATTCTGAAGAAGAATCAAAGTCTAAAGTAGTGAAAGTCGCTGGTAAGGTTCCAACGCCGAAAGCCAAAGTAGCTCCCAAAAAGGCAGCAGCTAGTTCAAGTGATTCAAGCTCCAGTGAGTCAGAGGAAGAAGTTAAGAAACCAACAGCTGCAAAGAAATCACCAGCACCCTCAAAAAGCCCAGCAGCTAAAACAACCCCAAAAGTAGCCAAGAAAGATTCCAGCTCTGATAGTTCCAGTAGTTCTGAAGACGAAAAGAAGCCCACCACCCCAGCTAACAAAAAAGTAGCCCCCAAGACTCCTACCTCTGCTAAAGCTACCCCTAAACAAACCAAGAAGGATTCATCAAGTTCTGATTCATCAAGCGAGTCTGAAGATGAGAAACCGAAAAGGCCTGTCAAATCTTTAACAAAGACTCCTGTAAAGACGCCAGTAAATGGGAAAAAAGTTCCAGTTAAGAAACAAGAAAGTAGTTCCAGTTCAGACTCTTCTTCTTCTGAAGATGAGAAAAAAGCAGCAACGAAAACAAAATCTCCGGCAGTAAAGACTCCACAAGTTGTGAAAAAAACTGTTAAAAAAGATGAAAGTTCTTCTGATTCTTCTGATAGTGAGTCCGAACCTGAAGCAAAAAAGCCGAAAACTCCTGTCTCCGCAAACAAACAAAAAGCCACTGTGAATAAAAATAAAAAAGACTCTAGTTCGTCTGACTCTAGTAGTTCAGAATCTGAAGACGAGAATCCCAAAACTCCTAAACTACCAAACGGAACCTCCAGTAAATCTAACACACCTTTATCTAACGGCAAGGTTTGTCATATATTTATATCTTCCTCGTAATTCGGGGGGTTGCTCTAAGGCGTCTTGTCATTGAGTCAGCTGGCATGGTTTTGATTCTCCACCTGTCGGTTTTCTCCTGGTCCTCCGGTTTCCTCCCACCATTAGGAGACCCTTACACACAAGCAAATTATTGAAATAGAATTGAACCATGTGTTAGTCCCCAAATGACCTAGTTGAAGTCCAGTGGAAGCTAAACCCCATTTCTCTCTCTCATTGTAATTCTTTCATGTTTCTGGAGCCATGACTTATTTTGTCTTCGTTCAATTTGTCTTCGTTAACCCTGGGCCAATGTCCTATCCTGGATCTGTTGGAAGAAAGTTTCTGACTAATTCCTGTATTATTTCCCCCTTGTCAGTAATACATACACAACCTAAAGTGTCAGATCATTCGGATAAACACATATCCTGTATGTCTTCGGCATCACATTCAAGATGGTCTGGAAATTAAAATACTAGTAGGTCTCTGCATATATGTCAATATGTGATTAAAATAACATTAATTTTAACATTAACCAGAAAATTACAAAAAGCTTAACCCGTTAAGTGTGACGTTTTTAAAACGTTAACTACCCCCTATTGTGTAATTAATTTGACGAAGTGACGAAGAACTATGTACTATGTTCTAAGAATAGGCTTGGCAAAATACCTCCAAGGCGTTATATTACGCCCTACACACATTGAGTGGCAGTTGTCCAGGACGTAATATAACGTCGTACACATGCTGCGATCGTGGGGGAATTTCCAAGGGATTCCCCCAAGTGACAAACTACGTTCTAAGAATAGGTTGGGGAAAATACCTCCAAGGTGTTATATTACGCTCTACACACAGTGAGTGGCAGTTGTCCAGGACGTTATATAACGACTACGCACTTAACGGGTTAATTTAATTTTACTGTTTGATTTAATGCCAACCTAAAGAGGATGCCTGAGACTGCCTCCTCCTCTCCTCTCTGCATGTCACTGTTCATTGTCTCATTTGCCCCTTTGCTATAGACATGAATTTGATTGTTTGAAATTTCTCTAGCTAACAGTTTATGAATGTAACATTATGCTTGTTATATTTACAGGGATCACGTAAACAGAATGAACCATTTCGTCGAGTAAAAGCAGAAGAAATGGACGTTGATCACAGGTTACAAGATAATTCTTTTGAAGCTAAGGTACCATGGGTAGAATAAAAAAAACGTATTTTTCAGGATATAAGTCGATACTCTCTCACCCTCCTTGGAAGTCGGGTCGGAACATGACCGTATCCTGATAAGAGATCGTTACTAAATTGAATAACATGTGTCTCCTATATACACTGCTTCGACTGATTTATGGATAAGGGTCACACGATGGCTCAGTAAGTTGTTGGCTCGCTAACCTTGAAGTTTGATCCGAGTAAGTTCATCTGCATTTTCTGGCATGGTCCCCCTTGTCAGTATTCTAGGACAGAGAGCCTGGCAAGGGACAACATACAGTTCCTTGGATGGGACAAAATAACGAGGTCCTGTGTACACATTGGCATGTGCATAAAAGACCCCATGCGGGCAAAATTTCGCACATTAAACACTGTATGTCTGTCTTCATTAGGCCAGTCGGAACAGAACAGTAGGACATTAATTTCATTTATCTATGGATGAAAGTTGGAAAAATAGTAAAATATGGCGATTTGATTTAAACTCGGCATCGACTTATAAACTGTAAAATACGGTAATTTCTACCATTATATGCAGAACAGTCTGTTTTAATTCCATTCTTTCATGGGATTTTACAGAACAATAATCCTGACAAGGACTGATGTCTAGTTGTTCGGATGGGAACAAGAAAAGATTAGGTCCATACAGATCAGCTTGCATGTACAAGAACCCCTGATATTTAGAATTTGAATTAACAGCAGGCAGTAGCGCCGTTGTCCATGTAAAACTTCCCCCATAGCACGCTCTTCAACCCCAGCATTAACACAATCCTTTACAGTTAGACTTGGAATGAAAAGGTGGCACTGTCGCGATAAAATGTCGCTCATATGACACTGAATGGCACATGCCTGTCTTTGATTTCCAATATTAGAAGTTATGTTGCATTTATATCGATAATGTCAAATATTTTGTAAGCTTATCACTATAACTTGGGTATTATTTAGTTGAGTTATTTTAGCAGGAGTCTCTGTATTTTATGTTTAGTTTTAAACCATTGTTGGAAAACTGTACAGGTAGTTTAAAAGGGTCTGTCTAGATTAGATAATGGGTGTTGGGTTTATAACTGTTTAGTTTCTAGAGCAGTGTTAAGTAATTAATTAATCTGTTAATTACACATCACCTGCTAAAACAGCACAATTAAATGATACCGGAGTTGTAGTGTTACCTGTTTCACAGTACGTATATTTATATGATTTTTAAAAAAATGTTTTTTATTTCAGAAAAACGCAAAAGGCTCATGGGGCGAAAAAGCGAACTATGACTTAAAACATACAAAAGGAAAATCATTCAGACATGAAAAAACCAAGAAAAAACGTGGAAGCTACGCTGGTGGTAACATCGACTTTTCTGTGAATTCAATAAAATTTGAAGATTAAACTGTGTGTTTGTGTATCATCAACATTCATAAGACAACCATATTCAAGATATCTAGAATGGATCTTGAACGATAAGAAGACAATCGATTCAAGATATAATGAACTGTGACTATAATATGCAATGTATCTTGAACGATAAGACAACCGTATTCAAGATATAATGAACTGTTGCTATAATATGCAATGTATCTTGAACGATAAGACAACCGTATTCAAGATATAATGAACTGTGGCTATAATATGCAATGTATCTTGAACGATAAGACAACCGTATTCAAGATATAATGAACTGTTGCTGTAATGTGCAATGTATCTTGAACGATAAGAAGACGACCATATTCAAGATATCTTGAACGATAAGAAGACAACCATATTCAAGATATCTTGAATGATAAGACAACCATATTCAAGATATCTTGAATGATAAGAAGACGACCATATTCAAGATATAATGAACTGTGGCTGTAACGGGCAAAGTATCTCGAACAATAAGACTGTATACTTTTCAAGATACCTTGAAAGAAAACGGTATTCAAAATATCTTGAAAAATGAAGAAATACCAAGTGTTTGTGTGTATATCATTTCATTTCATTCAAAGATGTTTTTCGTGACAAACAAGCATTGAAATGAACTTATACGGAAATGTTTTTTGAGTTTTGTATCGGACATAGATTGATATCAATAAAAGACAAATTTGTACAAGTAAAAAAGACGGACATCAGAGGGACCGAGTTTGAGAAAGTCTGGTTTTTGTAATAATAATAATAATAATAATAATGTACATCTATGGTTACGCTCACTCCATCCGTATTGCATGCTCTGAGCGAATTGAAGATAAAAGCCAAGTCCACAGTGCATTCTCAGACTTAAGTTAAGAATTTACTCAAAATTGTTCGCCTTATTTTAACTAAGACTAAGATATAGCCCTTTATAAAACTTTTGTTTTAATTTATCAAATACATGTACATCAATAAGAAACTATGTGCTAAGTTTTGTGTTTCTGGATTAAAGATATTTCTCATAAACAGTGATTGAAAGTTGAGTAAATTCTTAACTTAAATCTGAAAATGCTTTGTGAACTCGATGCCTGATAATAAGTAACAAACAAATAGGGTTTTGAGTTTGGATTTGAATTCAGCTAATGTTTGAGAACATTTTATCTTCAATGGTAAGTTATTTACACTTGTGGTAATAAATGTAGAATATGTATAATTGGGGGAAGGATGTTGAAAGGTGGAAAATAAAGAATATTGATTTTCAAATTTTATCTTTAATAAATGCTAATGAATCAGTTTTTGGTGTTAAAGTTTACAGAAGTTTTTAGAGGTCGTATTTCCTTCATATTTAATGAATATTTTAACTGGTCAGGAATAAAGGTGCATTATGTAAGATTTAGATAAAGGGAGGGAAGTTCTTTCTATTTTAATTCAAAAATAGATAATGAAAAATGAAGATATTTAAATTTTCATTCAAATTACTTTATTACGAGTGAAGTTATGAGTGTTGGAGGATTGTAGCCTAGATTGTTTTATCATAGCATCGGTTGGGGGATCACGGTGGCTACGTGGGTAAGACGCTGGCTCGCTAGCCTGGAGGTCAGGTATTCGATCCCTGCATTGGCCGAGAAAGTTCATCCAGATTTTACGACGTGGTTCCCCCTTGTCAGTGATGCAGAATGGAGGGTCTGACAAGGACAGCTGTCTAGTCCTTCGGATGATACAAAAAAACGGTCCCGTGTAAACATTGGAATGCATGTAAAAGAGCCCCTGGCAGTTGGAATTCGATATAACAGTAGGCGATAGTGCCGCTGCCTGGGCAAAATTTCCCTCATAGCACACTGTATGGCGTATGCCCGTCTTCATTAGCTCAGTATGGGAGCAGAACAGTAGGACGTTAAACTTCATTTCATCTTTCGTAGCATCGGTACATCTCGTTTGTCCATTTTATCGTTAAATCTCGTGAGCCATCTAATCCATTTAAATCTATGCCATCTTGATGGTCTAGAGAGTGGATTATGGGATTGTCATGTTATTAATGTCGAAATAATAATTTATATAACAATCGGTACCAAATTAAAGACTTGCTATACATGTACGCCGATTTAACTCTTACATGATGCATCTTTAACTCAGTTGTGACAAGAATTATTTGTTAGAGGTTAGTAAATGTTATACTTCAGTTGATGAATTGTTATTTATGGTGGATGGGTTGTTGATTGAATTTTAATTATTCAACTAATTAATGTTTTTTTGTTAATTATAAACCAGATTATTGAATATAACATGGCCCAGTTTTGGTGGGTTTCTTTTTGCAATATTTGTATACAAAAAAATTACAAGTGAACTAAATCAAACGGCGCATTGAATAAAAACCTATATATTGGCTTGCGTACAAAGTTAGATTGAATCATTTCGGTATAGTTGTGTAGGAGAATGTTTTGTACAGAACGTGCTTTTCTCTTAGACCTATATTAAGTTACGTTAATTATTTTTTTTACCATTTATGATTCATGATGTCATAGTGTTAAAAGGTGTAGTATAAGCATGTATTTACTGTATGTTCAAGACTTGGTACTAGCCCAGCTATAACTATTGTATTACTGTATGTTCAAGACTTGGTAATTGCCCAGGCTATAACTATTGTATTACTGTATGTTCAAGACTTGGTACTTGCCCAGGCTATAACTATTGTATTACTGTATGATCAAGACTTGGTACTTGTTTTCAAATTCATTAGTCAGCATTTTATTCATATATTTTATTATATTTATATTTATAAAATGCTTATATTATTTACTGTTAATGATGCATGATGGGATAGTAGATCAAACCTTCTGGAATTACTTTCTCTTAACGTACAGTGATGACCAAGTCACGGCAAGAAAATTGCTTGATAAAATATTTTCCCAAAGTTCATAAGAAGGTCTTGAAGAAACATGAATTTTCTCACCTGTATCAAAAGCTTTGTTTTTTTTCTTGTTTTGGATTTTTTGATCATGCGTTGTTAGTATAGAATACATTGTGTATATATACACCAATTGTCAACAGATATAAGTAATAAGTACAAATAAAGATGTCACAAGTCATTATCAATCCATTTTATTTATATTGATTAACGACTTGAGAAATCTTGTTAAAAGTCACCCTGTAATAAACCACAATAAATGTTATTCCATAAATAGTGTCTTATTTGCTTACGTTTCAATGAATAATGTAAAAAAAAAAAAAAAAGTCTAGTAATACAGTATTAAAGGTGATTAAAATTAACAAACGTCCAGGCAAATGTTCTCTCGTAACATACTGTATGGCGTATGCCCGTCTTCATTAGCCCAGTTGGTGCAGAACAGTATTTCATTTTATTCTTGATTCAAGACTTCATTTTGACCTGAATAAAGAGGTTATATTATTTTTCTTGTATAAATTTATGATTTTTGTATATAAATATTATTATCAGATACCGAATGTGTTGCATCATATTATTCACAGAATTTACAGAATGTCAATAAAACTTTTAAAACATTGTCAAATTTTTATTACAAGTAATAGTTTAATGGTGCCATGAACATATGAACAATATCTCTCCTGACATCTCTTGAGAACATGTTTACATTTGTATATTTGCATAGGGTCCTAAAAGCCAGCTTTCTAACAAATAGGGGGTTGGGGGATATAGAAGTCGACTTCCCGCTTTGTTAGAAACTAGGTCATTTCGGGACTAACAAATGGTTCAATTTAATTTCAATAATTTGCCTGTGCGTAGGGGTCTTTAGCAGTGGGAGGAAACCCATGAAGTTGGAAAGGTGACCCTACTCCTTGATTCATACAACTGGGGAATCAAAACATTTTAAGGAGCTGCAGTGGTTTAGTGTATAATGTACTGGCTCGCCAACCAGGCTTTGGCTTAATACTGTTGACTTGAGATCTTAGGATTTTCCGGCATAGCTTCCCTTGTAATTGGTGCAGGACGGAGGATCTGGCAAGGAGCTGAGTTGCTCGGATGTGACACGTACGTTGTAATTTGAAATAAAAACAGGCTGTAGCAATGCTGTCTGTCCAAAGTTACCCTCATAGCACATGGCGTAGTCTCGGTCACCCAGAACCTCCTAGTCTTCAACATATGGAGGGTCTGGGATTGTGTCAATATTTGACGTAAAGTCAAATGCCCATGCGTAACCGTGAGTTTGGTTTATAATGTGGTTGATTATCCAGTATCTTTGACCAAGTCAAGTAAGAGATGCGCCCCTTCCCGCAATAAATCCCATAATTCCTGCATTAATATAAACAAACATGAATCGTGACATACACATGGCCCATGAAGCGAGAAATTTTACAATAAAAAAAAAATTATGAGTCTTGGATATTGAACTGGCATGCAATCAAATGGATTATTTGAAATGGCATTCTTAAATTAATTTCATGGGTGTCATCGTGTTTTAGAAAGTTATCCCCCTTTAGATGTTGTTTATGATAATTTAAAAGACTGGATAATCTAGCCAATGACCTATTATTTTCAAATGTTGACAACGCATCCAGACTAATATTCGTAGAATATTTTTCTGGATGATAGCGACTACACATTGCGTGGCATAGGCCTGTCTTTACTAGCCTGGTGGGGGGTGGATGGTTAGCACGTGCGTCTGTCATTGAGTCAACTGGCGAGGTTTCGATCCTTGTCACCTATAACCGGGGAATCGAAATCATGGCATTTGACTGAATGACCTTATGATCTAAATCTCTCGTGTTAACCCATTTGGACATCCAAACCTTTAACAATAAAGACTGTGAATCACCTTTTTTGATCCCCCCAACCCTGTACTATACTGGACTTACCTCTCAATCACGATTTGCTCTTATCGCAAGTTTCTTTAGGAAACGTCTGCAATATCATCTTCAGTGAAAGCAGATGTTAACCACTGGTAACAAACAAACAAACGAACGCTCCGATTGACTCATCTTTTATCAATTTTATAATAAAAATTAAATTTATAAAACAATAAAAAATGGGCAATATAAGAAATGTAGGCAGGAAAATCAAAAAAAAATATTGTCTGCTTCGGCTTGTTTATATAATCTGCAGTGAATGTTGGGAGATTTTCAATTCATCATATCTTCGTAAAAATACTGAATTTTGGATCGACATTTCTTTTAGAGGTTAAACTATTACAATATTGTATGATCTTTTAGAGGAGAGAGAGAGAAAAATGGGGTTTAATGTCCACTCGACACAAACTAGGTCATTTTGGGACTAACATATGGTTTCAATTTTATTTCAATAATTTGCTTGCGCGTAGGGGTCTATAGTAGTGGGAGGAAACTGGAGGACCCGGATAAAACCCACGAGGTTGGACAGGCGACCCTTCTCCTTGTCACGTACAACCGGGGAATCGAAACCACGCCAGTCGACAATGACAGACTTTATGATTCAGTGCGTGCGCGCTAACCATTCAGCCATCCAACCCCCCCCCATACTTATCGAAGAACAATTACTGGTTTATTTAGGCGATGTTTTGGAGATTATTCTCTCACTTGCTTGAAAATGTTGAGAGAATACTCTTCGAAACGTCGCCTAAATAAATCAGTAATTGTTCTTCGATAAGTATGTGTTATAGTTTATCACAATATTGTAGTTTACAAGAGATTCATAATCCCTTCAATAAAAATCAATCACCCTAACCCTACACTTTCTTTGTTATGAGTCAAATGTTACCCAAACCCTACTCTGATTCAATTCCCAGTCAAGGGTTCAAATGTGTACATGGGACCTCGGTTTTTCATCCCATCTGAATGACTAGACTGTTGCTTCTCAAGTCCTACATTTTAAAACAATGACAAGGATGCAATGAAGCTGGAAACCCAGAGGTATTCTCTCTTTTACCAGGCCCGAGTTCACAAAGCGTTCTTAGACTAAAGTTAAGAATTTGCTCAAAATTATTCACCGTATTTTAACTAAATTATAGCCATTTATAAAACTTTTGTTGTTTTTATGAATCAAATACATCAATAAGAAACTATGTAGAAAGTTTTGTGTTTCTGGATTAAAGATATTTCTCATAAACAATGATTGAAAGTTGAGTCAATTCTTAACTTAAGTCTTAGAATGCTTTGTGACCTTGGAACCAGTTCTTATAAATCGGTCTATTGTGATTTCACGCTAAAGTCACGTGACCTGAAACCCCTACTATTGTGATTTCACGCTAAAGTCACGTGACCTGAAACCCCTACTATTGTGATTTCACGCTAAAGTCACGTGACCTGAAACCCCTACTATTGTGATTTCACGCTAAAGTCACGTGACCTGAAACCCCTACTATTGTGATTTCACGCTAAAGTCACGTGACCTGAAACCCCTACTATTGTGATTTCTGTTGACAGATTTTCATATTTACAACAGCCAAAATAAGCATTACCTTTCAGAACCTTAATCAGGAATTAAGTTAGAATCGTTCGTAAATAAATATTAAACACTTTATCGATTTAAAATGACATGACAACGATATTTTTAACGGTTGGTGACTCTCCTAATGGTTTTTGCTAAGTGACCAAAAAGACACATATTCTTATTTTCATATTACTGAAAAACTCAAATGTCATCATAACATGGTATTCTGTAAATTTCTTCGTACTGGAGAAACTATTTCTGAAGACTGTTGAATGCGCTGTGATTTCGTGGGTGAAAGATAGTCAGTAGCTGCAGATAATTGTCTTTTAAAAATATTACCATGACTACCATCCTCATCGCTGTTAAAACTAACATTAACTGAGGTATCGCGATTTGTGATTTGAGTGAAGTTAGAGTCATCGAAACCTCTAATATAAGATTTGTCACTATCAAAAAGTTTTTCGTCTTCGTCATCAGGTTCATCGGTTCTGTATTTAGCAAACTGATTGGACGCCGCAAGTTGTGATTGTAAAATTAATCCTGATTCATCCAATGTCTTAATGTAAGAATCATCACTATCAAAAAAAGAATCTGAATTATCTTCCTTGGAAACACAATTATCTCCCTTAGAAATATAATTATCTCCCCTTAAAATAGTGTTCTCTACGTCTTTGGAGAATTCGTTTGAGGTATCCATTGTTTCACAAATTTTTAATTTCACATGTGATGTATTAGCACCATCACTAGATAAAAATTTATTTACAGAATTACTCCCAGAGTTGTTTCCCTTGACATAATCTTCATTAGAGTTGTTTCCCTTTTCATCACTCCCCATAGAGTAGTCTCCCTTATGAGAACTAGAACTATAGTTGTCTGCCTTAGTAGAACCTGCAGCAGAACTATTCCCCACAAATCCAGCTGTGACAGAGTTATTGCCCTTAATACAGCTAGACACAGAGTAGCTTCCCTTAGCACAATTTGAATTATCCTCCTCTTTTTCTGAGTCAGAATCTGAGGGAAGTAATTCACAGAGAGCGTCCATATATTCATCATCCCAATCATCGTCTCCCTCGCCCCAGGTCTCGGCCACACCGTTATTATTAACCTGCTTCTGGTTTCTTTCTTCTGTTGAGTTGTTGATAAAAGTATCCAGATCTTCTTGTAGTGTCTGAAATAAATAATATATATTGTAGTTTATAGGCATTTTTATAGCACTTGCCAAATCGATTTGTATTTTGTGGAGATGACATGTGACAGTATAGTTGATTTCAAAGTATTTTAATGAGTTTGTTAAAAATGCTGATTAACTGTAAACAATTCTTGTGGCTGGATAGATGTGAAAAAAACCCATGTGATCACCCGATCAAATCGTCAATTCGCACCTAGAGGTGATTTATGGTAATTGCTATGAAAATCGGTGTCGATAAATTCTTTGATTAGGTTAACCAATTTGAATTAGATGGACATTAAAGATGATAATTTGATTGAATGCAAATCAATTGTTATCAATGACTTAGATGTAGTCAGTGGATTGAGGATACAGGATACAGGATAGGAGGACTACCAATATCACATATTATGACATCATACCAAAAATCCAAAAGATCAACAATCGATGAGCAAATGTTGAAAGAACAAGCCTAGCATGCCATAGGTTGTTTTTTTTTTTTAAATTTTTTTTTAAATACATATATTAAGTATATGTGTATATACAAATGAGATCAGAATAAATTATTCAATTTACGAGTCTCCTAGTGTATGAACTAGTTCGTGGTTGAAAAATGTGAATGGCCATCAGCGGCTTTAAATGAGGTATTAATTGTATCGAAAGTCATAATATAATACTTTATTAATATTTTGGATAAGCTTTTAATTTTGTGGAAATATGCATTGTTCCAAGTTTTCAATCTTGGCGTGGTCGGTGGCGGTGTCGACCCTACTTGACCTCCTTTTGCTCTGGTCATTCCCAAGACTCATTTAGCTGCAGTATATGTTTATTTAGTTGTAATAAATACTAATTATGTCGTTATAATTATGTCAAATGTGTAATTTGATTGTTTCCTTTTAATCGGCCTACTCGTGTAAGTTGTACTGATTTTCATCTAGGCTGTGAAATTCAGTATCCCCTCCCTTGTATAGAAATGTCTGACAGAATGAATGAATGTTTAAATATTGTAAATGTCTTTGACAGAATGAATCCATAAATATTGTTAATTGTATCTTTTCAGTTTTTTTTACGATGATTAATATAGAAATATTTAGAAAAAAAGAAAGTTGTTTTTATATTTATTGACCATCATCCGTAAACTCTACCCACTGATAAGAAAGTATGCATAAAAAAAGAGACTCGCCCAGAACAGTAACACTGATAAAAATGATAAATTGCTTCGATGGCATTTGTCGTAGTAAATGAACTGGAGTATACAGGTAACTTTTCAATATTATGGAATACAATTACTGCTAATTACTGGGTGACGTTTTCATTATTAAAATCTTATCAATACTTCACAACAAGTTATCAATTAATCAATTTGTTTTATTTTCAGGTAAAGTAGTCAGAGTAGTCTGTGTCATATTCGAAGTTGTTATTAGTATTGCATTAATAAACCATGATCACTTTCATAATTATATTACTTTAATTAAACATGCATTATGCAAGAGCAAAATCTGCTTATTACAAGTCTTTCTTTAGGCCTGAAATGTTATCTAAATTATCAATTAGACATTAATTAACTTATCCAGACCATAATAAACTCTCGATGTCAAGGCTAGCCTCCGATGCTGGCTGGATTAGCTTCCTATATGCCGCTAACAGCTATTGATAATTAAATCAGAAAAAGTGGATAATCGAGACTATGCTGTTTATATTAATGATTTTAGTAATGATGACCAAAAATTTCACCCGCTTCTTTCTCGGCTCATAGTGGATCAATTTGACTGAAATTTCCAGCAAATTACCTTTACACTATCTAGTTTTTAACTATTATAGCGAGAACTGCCATCTCTTTATCTTATCTCCCATAATGTATGTTTAAGTTAGATTCCCATGTAATTAGAAGGTTATCTCTGGTGGGTGAGTATTACAAATATTGTTATGTACATCTATATATTGTCTTGTTATATTTTTATATTTTATCATTGTTTAATAATGACACGAGAATCCTAGTCGAAAACGTCACTCAGTAATAAACAGTAATTCTATTCCATACAATCCTTACCCCCAAAAAATAATATTAATCAACTGACCTGGAGAATTTCAGGAAACTTCTGTACGTTGTCCAGTAATTTTTCTTTAAGTGAAGTTCGTCGTGGTCTATGACTAGTCGTTATTGCACGATCAATATTACACTTTTTGCCCACCATATAAACAGAACAGCGCCCTCTAGTAACGGCCGTGTAGACATGTTGCCAGTTTTCGTAGAATGATCGGTAGACAACGTAAACAACCGCCGTCGATTCAGAACCCTGAAATATAAATAAAGGAAGTGGAAATGTCAGACTAAAAAGATTTAAATAAATTAAATGGGGTTTAACGTCCCATTCTTCTGCACAAACTACCAGCATTTTCTATGCGTGGAATTTTTGTTCAAACTTCGGCGCTATTGCCGTCTCTTATTTCAAATTCCAACGGTCAAGGGTTCTTTTACATGCCTGCCAACACGTTCACAGGACCTTGATTTGTTGTCCCATTCGAACAACTAGACACTCTTCTTTGACAGGTCTTCTGTCCTGCACCACTGACAAGTTACTTTCTCGGCCAACACCTGATCAGTGAGCCATATGTGAGGTCTATATATTCTGTTCTTAACTCTTTAGTACTTGGAATGCCCACAACTACTGTACCCTCTGCACATGAACAGATGTGAACTATTTAATTCCCTGAATCTGACAATTTGAGGTGCTTTTACTAGAACGCAGAACTGGTAGTTTAGGGAGAGAGAGAAATGGGGTTTAACGTCCACTCGACACAAACTAGGTCATTTTGGGACTAACATATGGTTTAATTTTATTTCAATAATTTGCTTGTGTGTAGGGGTCTTTAGCAGAGGGAGGACCCGGAGATAACCCACGAGGTTGGACAGGCAACCCTACTCCTTGTCACATACAACCGGGGATTTGAAACCACGCCAGATGGCTCAATGACAGGCCTTATGATACAGCGCGCATGTGCTAATCATTCGGCCATCCAACCCTCTGGTAGTTTAGGACGGTTTTCAAAATGAGACACAAAACATCACTTTTCGCTAACTTTTTCAAGTTAAAAATTTGCATATCGGGTGTCCTTGATGGAATGTTACATTATAATATTTAAGAGAGCTGCCTTTTCATTGGCTAAATGTAATATTTATACTAAGTAAGATTTTAATTCTCAGCCAATGAAAATGTTGAATTCTAAGTTTTAAGACTTCATGAATAAAGGCCCTGGTATGTATGAGTAGTGTTATCGGATGTTCTAAAATGATATTTACCTGGTATGTATGAGTAGAAGTGTTACCAAGTGTTCTAGAAAGGATATTTATGTGGTAGATAGGACTAAAAATTTTATAGCACGAGGTTTCAACAAGTATTCTCTTATAGTTTTCAAGCAAACTATTTGTACTTGAATACAACAAGAGAATACTTGTCGAAACGTCGTACTATATGTGTATAAACCAGTGATTGTATTCCATATAAATTGTGTTGTGTTTTTTTAATGTGCTCAATCACTAAATGACACTCAAGCATTATATATCCGCAAATAGTCAAATGTAGGCCTTAATTATAAAATGTAGGCCTAGACAGTAAAATGTAGGCCTAAATACCACTCAAGGATTATATTCTAGAAGGATTTACCTGATATGTATGACTAGAAGTGTTACTGGGTGTTCTAGATGGATAATTACCTGGTATGTATGAATAGTACGAGCCCAGCCATGTCTCATTTTACATTTCTTTATCAAATCACGATAATTTACACACACCATTTTCTCTTTCGGTTCTTCTTTATCTGTTAGAGTTATGTACCTTATTGTTTTACCATCGGCTGACGTTTCCGAAACATCCTGTTAATTATATCGATTGTAAATATAAACAGGGGCAATAACTCTAATACTCTTTAACACTTTCTACACAAACTTTATAAATATTAAATTATATTGGTCGTAAAAAATATAAACAAGGGCAATAACTCTAATACTTTCTATACAAACTTTATAAATATCAAATTATTGATAATCTAAACTTCAGAGGGAAATTTTGCACATACAGTATTACCATGGCCTACTTTTATTTACAATTCCAACTGCCAAGGGATTTCTTACATGCATGCCACTGTATACACGGGACCTCAGTTCTTCATTCCATCCGAAAAACTATATGTTGTCCCTTGTCAGACTCTCTGTCCTGCACCACTGAATAACACGGTATAATTCTGATAAACTTTCTTGGTCAATGTAGGAGAAAGAAAGAGAGAAATGGGGTTTAACGTCCCACTTGCCACAAAAAAGTCATTTTGGGACTAACACATGGTTCAATTTCATTTCAATAATTTGCTTGCGTGTAGGGGTCTTTAGCAGTGGGGTCAACGTAGGGAATGAACAAGGGAACTCAGGTTAGCGAGTCAATGTTTTACTCACTGAGCCACTGAGGCTCCAGATATGTTTTTTGAAATGGGTGGAATGATCATACAGGAATTTGGGCATTGGCTTGTCGTTTGAAACTGTTGGATAACAAAAGGGGTACTCAACTGGATAAAAATACTGCTGAAATACAATTAATGAACCTACTTTAGTAGGTAAAGGATTACTGGACCTGTTTTAAGACCCAGTCTGCTACTGAATAGAATTTAACGTCCTACTTTTCTGTACCAACTGGGCTAATGAAAACCTGCAAAGTGTAATGAGTGATATTTTGCCCAGGCAGCATCAGTTAAAGGAGAAACATTTTAAAACTTACATGAATAATAAAGAACACTTCACCATTACATAGTCGAACATTTTTATTTTTTTTTTCTTTCTTCTTTTTCTGCGTCTGAGTTGATAAACTATGTTGAGAAACTGGCAATAATTCTAGAAAGATAAATACAACCGTTTATTTGTTCATTCAAGGATTACAGTGAATTACAAATAGGCTGGACAACTGAAATCTTACATCAGGCTAAATCTAATTAAACATTTTCATTCAAATTATAAATAGGCTGAAATATAACATCAGGTAAATTATTTCACATTAGGTTAAATCAAATTAATTCTTAGTTCTTTGGGGAATTGATAAATAAATTGACAGTTGAGTCTCATGAACAATTTTTAACAAAAAAAAAATGAAATGGGGTCTAACCCGTAATGTCCTACTCTTCTGCCCCCAACTGGGCTAATGAAGACGGCCATATGCGATGCAGGTGCTATGAGGGAACTTTCTACCCTGACAGCGGTGCTTGTCTGCTCTTATATCAATTTCAAACTGTCAAGGGATCTTTTATGTGAACGACCAGACAGCTGTCTTTGTCAGGCCCTTATGCTGCACCACTGACAAGAGGAAACCAAGCCGAAAAGTCCTGATGAACTTTCTCGGCCAACACATGGGAGCGAATCCGCAACCTCCAGACAAGCGAGCCAATTAGAAAAGTTTAGAAGCACTTTTGGTTTTCAAATTATTTTGTTTAGGTCCTACCTTTATCAGTGTCTTCCATAATGAAATCAGCAGCTTCTTGACTACTAAAACCATTTCTAACATTCCCACGACTTCTAGTCGATTGGCTGATTGTCTGTGAACCGTTTGGCCGGGCAGAATCACATTGTTTTGGCTTCTTCTTAGATGGTAATCGAGATCTGTAGTTGATAATCTCAGCATTTTTACTCATACAAACTTTATCACCCTGTCGAAACAAATATCTCTTTCGATCGTCTTTTGTTATGTGGTCATTGTAAAATTTACAACATAATTCATTGATGCTTTCACAGCGTCGCCTAAAATAATAAACATTTCATATTTTATCCTATATAGCAAATTATGATATTTATTTACAATATTCTTAAGTCATTTGAGACCTCCCCACCATACACTATCATCTCTGTGTGTGATTGAGATAGAGATGATGCAGGTGGAGTGAAAAGAGAGAGAGAGGGAGAGAGAGAGATTTCGGGAGATACAGTTAAATTTTACTTCAATAATTCGCTTGCGCAGCTTAAGGGGTCTTTAGCAATGGGAGTAAACCAGAAGACCCAGAGAAAACCCACGTGGTTTGAAAGACAACCTTACTCCTTCTCAGTGAAAAGATGTAAATATAAAGATGGCATAGTTCAGGTGTTACATGGAAATTTAAGGCTTTCTGACCTGTTTTATCAAATGTGTTGTATAGGTAATAATTTTACCTTTGAAAACAAACAAACTGTGATGTCTCCTGATCCAGATTCGATGTTTTTAATAGATGGCGGATTTGGGCATCTGAAATTGAGAAAAATAAAAACAGTTAAAAAGGGAGGGAAGGAACTGGTAAAGCCATATGTGTTTGAGCCTCTATGCTTGAATAAGAAACAATCCCATTAGATACCAAGTTTGAACATTCTACCTCACTTAGAAGCAGTGTTGTTATGTTCTTAAAAGTATGACGGACAGACAGGTGCAAAGTGATCATCATCAAGCTCAGCCAAGACATTTCACTTAAAGATACATTATGGGAGATTCGATAACGAGTTGGCAGTTCTCACTATAATAGTTAAAAACTACATAATGTAAAGGCAATTTGCTGAAAATTTCATTCACACTGATCCACTATGAACCGTGAACTAAGCGATTGAAATTTCCGCCTAGCCCCGATCATCATTACTAAAGTCAGTACGATAAACAGCATAGTCTTGATTATCCATTTAATCATTAAATCGTGAAGGAAAGTTATGCAGTAAATAGGCTCATAATCCACTAAAGATCGCAGGCTAGGGATGACATCTAGTGTTGATTATGGTTTGGATAGGTTAATTAATGTCTAATTAATAATATAGATAACATTTCAGGCCTAAAGAAAGACCTGTAATAGACATATTTAGTTCTTGTATAATGTATGTTTAATGATCACCTAAACCAAGTTCCAACATTCTAACTCAGTTACAAGCAATCTGATTAAAACACATATCCTATTTCATTTCGTTTTTTATACTTCGTGAAATGAAATGAAATGAAATGGAGTTTAACGTCCTACTTTTCTGCTCCTAACCTGGGCTAATGAAGACGGGCATACGCCATACAGTGTGCTATGAGGGAAATTTTGCCCGGACAGCGGCACTACGGCCTACTCTTATATCGAATTCCAACTGCCAAGGGATCTTTTACGTGCACGCCAATGTGTACATGGGACCTCGGTTTTTCGTCCCATCCGAACGACTAGACAGCTTTCCTTGTCAGCCCCTCCATCCTGCATCACTGACAAGGGAGAACCACGCCGGAAAATCTGGATGAACTTTCTTGGCCAATGCAGGGATCGAACATCCGACCTCCAGGCTAGCGAGCTAGCGTCTTACCCACTTAGCCACGTGATCCCCTTTATACTTCGTAATTTTGTTTTACTTTGGAAGAGTTGTTATATAACACGTGTTCTGGTTGATGTGATGGATTAGCCAATAAAACGGTCTGTTACGGCGATTTCTTGGCGTGAGGTGCAAGGAACTGTGGGTAACCTACTAGAAACGTCAACGCTGATTGATTACCGGTAATCGATGTCTGGCATCATAGGGTCAAAAGCCACTAGTATGACACCTAACGCGACCTTAGACTACAATGTAGTATAGGCCATCGAAAGTATAAAATACGAAACAAAATATAGATCTGTATTTTATTCAGATTGAGTTAGAAGCAGACTTATTGTGTTTCAAAACGTGTTGCAGATGGACAGATGGACAGATAAACCCATTTCAATTTCTTTGAATAAATTCTGATAATTTGATATTTCAAAAATACCTATTTCATTATCTCCTTCTTCAAATCCAATCTCCAATAGACAAAATTTTCTGTTGTCGTAATCTGGTAGCTTCATTTGCGAAATCTTTGTTGCATTTTTGACAATAAGTTCTGATTCTGACCGATGATTGGTTCTTAATTCCATACAACATCCAAGGGGAGATAACACATGGAAAATATCACATAGAAAGTTTCCTGGTTCCACGGAGGGCAACTGTCGTACGTCACCTAACAAAATAATTTTGCGTAATCCCGCGAGTCTCTTGAGATTATTCAGCACCGTTGCGATCGTTCGAACAGAAACTAGACTACATTCATCAACAACTAAAACAGATTTATTCTCAAACTTCCATCTTGGCATTTCTGGATCATTGTTTGGATACCTTGCTTCGTTACCAAGGACATTTTCAGAATTCTGAGTCGCGTCCATTTCTGAATCTACGTCTCTAACGCCATTTTTTAGACCCTCTTCATGTTCATTTAGGCCGTCAGAATTTTCATCTCCGAAATCTTTAGCATATTTTTTGGATTTTCCATTTTGATTTGTACCGCCAGATTTTTCATTTACGAAATTCGTAGCATTTCTTTGTGATTTTTCATCATCATCACTTCCATCATCATCATTGTTGTTGTCCTGGTTACCAGCCAGCCCCTTTTCTTTAAAGTAGTCGGCCTTTCGTTTACAGAAACCCTTGTAGCTCATTATAACATGATGTAACGTAAACGACTCCATACACGCTTTACGTCCCAACAGATTCGCAGCTTTACCTTAAAATAGAGAAACAGAGATAGGGTTTAACGTGGACTTGACACAAACTAGATAAAAATGAAACTGGGCTGCGACTGGGCTAATGAAAACAGGCATACGCCATACGCCTTATATTGAATTCCAACTGCCAAGGGATTTTTTATGTGAATGCCAATGTATACACTGGGCTTCAGTTTTTCGTCCCATCCGAACGACTAGACAGCTGTCCTTGTCAGGCCCTCCGAAACTAGCTAAAACAAGAGAGTTTGTATGGGGTTTAACATGGACTCGACACAAACTAGACAGACAGAGAGAGTGAGAAATGGGGTTTGTCGTGGACTCGACACAAACTAGGTTATTTTGGGACTAACATATGGTAGTGGGAGGAAACCATAGTGAGAAACAAGGTTTAATGTAGACTCGACACAAACTAGGTCAATTCATTCAAATAGTTCGCCTGCTCATACAGGTCTTTAGCTGTGGGAGAAAACCCACAAGGTAGGACAGGAGCGACCCTACAACTTGGCAGGGAATCGAAACCACGACAGTTGACTCATAAGGTCTGTCGTTGAGTCAAGATGATTCGCCACTTGTACGTGACAAGGAATAAGGTCGCCTGTCCAACGTCGTGGGTTTTCCTCCCACTGCTAAAGAGCTCTATGTGCAAGCGAATTAGTGAAATAAAATTGAACCATCTGTTAGTCCCGAAATGACCTAGTTTGTGTCGAGTGGCCGTTAAAATCTCTCTCTCCTAACCCTTAATTCGGCAGGTGGGAATTCCGACCTCCCTGACCAATGGTTATATTATTGAAATTGTAATCTGAACAAGTTTTACCTGTTGGTGCTGTAAGTAATATGGTTTCACCGACAGGTGTTTTAGATAAATAATGAACATCTTCGTCATCACTATCATCTTCGTTTTCATCACTGTCGTCATGGTCACCATTACGTAACGTAGAATTCATCATTTCTTTCTGTGATTTCCATGGCGATTTATAATATTGTATCGGTTGGTCAAAACTTGTCTCATTCTCTTGTAAAATGCTTGATTCGTCTAAAGTTTGGTTAGAGTTATCTGCCCCTGTTTTATCCAAGGTATCATCTTTGTTTTCTGTTTCAATTTTGTGGCTGTAAAATATGGGAGAGGAACATGAACTGAGAGACTGATTGAGAGTGGGGGTTTAATGTCCACTCAACACAAAATAGGTCATTTTGCGACTAACATATGGTCCAATTTTGTTTTGCTTTACGTGTCGGGGTCTTTAGCAGATGACCCAGAAAAAAACTCACGAGATTGGACGGGCAACACTACTCCTTGTCACGTACAAACTACAACTGTAGAATCAAAACCACGCCACCGGACTAAATGACAGATGTTATGATACAACGCGCGCGTGCTAACCATTCGGCCATCCAACCCTGCGACTCAATGAGACAATGACAGACCTTACTTGATAAATATTGAATAAGCGGAAATGGACATTACCCCAAACGAGAATGAGGGACGTTTTAATATGTTTTATCACAGTCAGGAATAGCATAGTATTTGATTTAATTTGTGATCTTTTGCATTAGTAGGAAAAGGAAGACTCAGCAAAAACCCACAAAGTTAAACAGACAAGCCTAGTCCTTGTCCGATACAATGACAGATCTTATGACCTAACATGCACGCGTTAAACCATTCGCCCAACCGACCCCTCGTGAAATATGAAGAATAAATACCCTGTGAGAGAGTGATAGAGAGAAATGGGGTTTAACGTCCACTCGACACAAACTAGATCATTTCGGGACTAACATATGGTTTAATTTTTTATTTCAATAATTCGCTTGCGCTAAGGTGTCTTTAGCAGTGGGAGGAAACCAGAGGACCCGGAGAAAACCCACAAGGTTGGACAGGCGACACTACTTCTTGTCACGTACAACCGGGGATTCGAAACCACGCCAGTTGACTCAATGACAGGCCTTATGATACAGAGCACTGCTAACCATTCGGCCATCCAACCCCCCAAATACCCTGTGAAATCCAATAAATTTATATCCAACCTCTTAGTACAGATATGTTTTAATAACTGTGTAACTACAGTCGTCTTGCCACATCCACCCTTCCCAGAAAGCACTGCTACAGGATTCTGGGTAATAAGATGAACAGCCCTCCATTGATCAGAATCACCATAGAGATTATCAAAATCTTCACTGAAAACATATAATAAACAATTTTAGTACCAATCCTATCACAAAATAAAAGCAAAAAAATTCAAAAACTTCCTTTACTCATCAGATTTTGGGGAAATCAAATAAAATGAAATGGGGTTTAACGTCCTACTGTTCTGCTCCAACTGGGCTATTGAAGACGAGCGTACGCCATACAATGTGCTATGAGGGAAATTTTGCCCAGGCAGCGGCACTACGGCCTAGTCTTATATCTTTTACGTGCAAGCCAATGTATACATGGGTCCTCGATTTTTCATCCCATCCAAATAACTAGACAGCTGTCTAGGGGAAGGGGAAACCACACCGAAAAATCCTGATGAACTTTCTCTGCCAATGCAGGGATCGAACACGTGACCTCCAGGCTAGCGAGCCAGCGCCTTAACCAACAATGCAGGGATCGAACATGCTTTTGATCTACAGTGCATGTGTTACAGTGGAATATCAGAACCTGGGCTTACATCTCAAAATCTTTACTGTCATATTTGACAGAGAGAGAGATATGGCATAACATCCACTTGACCCAAACTAGGTCACTTTGGGACTAACTGATGGTTAAATTTTATTTCAATAATTTGCTTGCACGTATGAGACTTTTGCAGGGGAAGGAAACTGGAGGACCCAGAGAAATCCCACAAGGTTGGACAGACGACCATGCGGCCAATCACCTTCCGTGTCATAATTAATCACCAGCAGACGTGTTTGATCACAAGTCCAATCAACCTCACTCCTCCCAGGCCCCTGACAATATAAAAGATCCCTTACCTTGTAAAATCAACATCCCAGTGACCCATTCTATTGTCTTCATTGTTAATCATGTCACTCAAATGTTTGGCTACATCTTTCTCCGCCTGCCAATTTCTCTTTAAATAGATCTTCGTCTGACGATCCTTTCCCTCACTTTTTATGATTGCGTGCTGTTCCAAATATTTCAACGCTTCTTCCCATTTCACGACTCGGTAATCATTAAAAAATTTTCCCATTTTCATTCGGAATTTTTCTATGTAAGTATGGCCGTTTTCTCTGGCATCTTTTTTCAGGAAGTCATAAATATTTAAAGCATCCTGGTAAACGGTAGGAAATGACGTGAGAAGACGACATCTAACGAAATCGTTTAACGAAGCCTCCATACCAATTAAACCGTATTGTTTGTACATGATCTACAAATATAAGTACAGTATGTTTAAATACATGAATCTGAAGTCGTTTAACATCCTGACCCCAAGTTCACAAAACATTCTCAGACTTAGGATAAGAATTTATTCAAAATTTTTAACCAAAATATAGCTCTTTTGTTGTTTTAGGCCAGAAAAAAAAGGGTTCTGTTTCCTGTAATGGATGGAAACAAGGGTAGGGTCGGTAGGTAGTTTTGTTTTTTTTTTTAGATCCTAAGTTAATGACTTCTGTGTTCGAGCAATATTCCTAATATATAATGTCAAAAATGTTTTACCGAAGAGAATCCAAATTCCCATGGATATTCTTGACGACAAGAGTCCAGTTGACGAAGAATATGTGCACCAACATTTTCAAAGATGGACAGAAATTGTTTTGGACGGAGTTGACCAAGAAATTGAAACAGTTCTGGAAAATCAACAACAGCTTGCAGGAGTCGAACTTGCTCTGTAGACAAAAAGAAATTATGAAAATGAATAGGTATTTCATAAAATTAGCATGTACATAAAGTGTTTAACGGGAGAGAGAGAAATGGGGTTTAACATCCACTCTACAAAAACTAGGTCATTTCGGGACTAACATATGGTTCAATTTTATTTCAATAATTCGCTTGCGTGTAAGGGTCTATCTTTAGCAGTGGGAGGAAACCGGAGGACCCGGAGAAAACCCACGAGGTTGGACAGGTGACCCTACTCCTTGTCACATACAACTGGGGAATCAAATCCACGCCAGTTGACTCAATGACAGACCTTATGATACAATGTGCATGCGCTAACCATTTGGCCATCCACCCCCCTACCACTACCGAGGCAAAAATTTCCCTCATAACACACTGTATGGCGTATGCCCGTCTTCATTAGCCCAGTCGGAGCATTTCTGGGATTGAAGAACCTGTTATTGTTGTAATAATTCAAGTAGAAATAAATGGACAATAAATCCTGCGTTATTTCTAAATTACCTCCCTTAGAATGTGAGTATTCACTACAGACAGAGGAAGAAATGGTCATGTATTTGCACTAAAATTTGAATGAGGTTGACCACCTAAATTTTGATAAACCCGTTATCCTTCCGCCTCAAAATCATGAATTTTTATACGTCCACATTCATAATGTGGACGTATATTGCCGTCGCCCCTGTCTGGGTGTGTGTGTGGGTGTGTGTGTGTGTGTGTGTGTGGGTGGGTGTGCGGGTGGGTGTGTGTCTGTGTGTGGGAAATATATAAAATCACTCACCTGACTTGCGAATGAGAGGCCAGATACTGTTAACCTGATATCTGGTCGATTCATCATCAAATTGTTGATAATAGTTTTCAAAATTCTCAAAATAAAGACTATTATCATATCCATTATCACTGTAAAAACAAGGATTATAGTAAATAAACACAGATATAGATATAGAGAGAGAGAGAGAGATTAAGTCCACTAGAGAGAGAGAGAGAGAGAGAGAGAGAGGGTTTAACTAGACACAAACTAGGTCATTTCAGGACTAACACATGGTTCAATTTTATTTCAATAATTCGCTTGTGAGTAGGGGTCTTTAGCAGTTGGAGGAAACCGGAGGACCCGGAGAAAAAACACAAGGTTGGACAGGTGATTCTACTCCTTGTCACGTACAACGAGGAATCAAAACCACGCTAGTAGACTAAATGACAGGCCTTATGATACAGAGCAGCGTGTTAACCAGTCGGCCATCCAACCCTCCTATTAGTAAATAAATCAAGAGTTATTACTCAATACTCATATATGAATGATTCATCACAAATAGAATAGTAAGAGCAGGAGGACTGCACTACACACAAAAAACCTGATAAGACAAACCTGTGAACCAGACAAACTACATAGACAGTTTAGTTATTAAAATAGTGCAGTATCACTCAAATATGGGATAAATTTGAACGCCAACTGTTCTGCTCCTTTTGGTCTGACGAAAACAGGCAGATGAGGGATATTTTGCCCAGACAGCAGCATTTTTATGTGCCCTCCACCATTAGATGTAGGCTTATGATTTATATAACTGAAGCCTAAAAGTTTTGAAGATACTTGTATCATTTAGGGAAGCCACAGTGGCTAAGTGGGTAATTCGCTGGGTGGCTAGTCTGGAGACATTGGCACATACCAGACTGTATGGCGTATGCCCGTCTTCATTAGCCCAGTCAGAGCAGAACAGTAGGATGTTAAACCCCATTTCATTTCATTTCCTTTGTATCATTAAGATGGGTTGCCAGGTAACAAAACATATGCCATAACAGCTAAATTGTTGCATATTTATTTTCTTTTACAAGACACTGATATCAATTTCATACAGATCAGATAATTACCTTTATCTTCACCCAATCTGATTAAAACACAGATCATATTTCATTTTGTTTTTATAGTTCAAAATTTGGTTTTACTTGTCTTTACTACACTAGGATCTGGAAGAGTTGTTATATAACCCGCGTTCTGGATGATGTGAGGTGTTAGTCAATGAAACGGTCTGTTATAGCGAGTTGTTGGCGTGCGGTACACAGAACTGTGGGTAACCCACTAGAGACATCAGCGCCGATTGGTTATCAAATGTCTGACGTCATAGGGTCAAAGTTGCTCATATGGCCCCTGACACAACCTTCCACTACAACCGGTCAGATCTGCATGTAGTAGTTTAGGCCATCGAAAGTATAAAAAAACAAAATGAAATATAGATCTGTATTTTAATCAGATTGGTCTTCACATTTCCATGTGGGTATATCAAAACATTTTCTTACCGAACAAATTGTTCAAAAGCTGTTCCTCTTTTCTCTTGCATATCTGAATCATCGTGCGGCTTCGTAACTTTACTGATAAACATATTCATGAGTTTATGTCTGATGACATCTTCATCTTTCCTTATCTCGTATTTGATTGGTCGTGTATGGTCAACGAAGAAGACATGTTGCCGATTACCTTGGTAAATATGACATGTGACCTTCCACCATGGATCAACCAATGGGAACTGACCTTTACAAACATACGATTTTCCTCCTTCTAAGATTTGTTTGATTGTAACTGTAAAATATATTATACGTAAATAATCAAGGGTTAAACACGTCATTGGTTAATATCTAATATTAAAGTACAGATGTGACGTCATACTTTGATGTTGGCGTACCATTATTTCAAAAACTGGGCAATGTGCCAAGCGTATATTACTAGTTGAAATGTCTCGCACTTGACCAATAAACTCAGATAATAATATAATATTTCTACACATAATATAATATTAATAGGAAATAATCTAGCTGATTGGTCATCTTGGGGAGGGGGGATGGCGTAAATGGACTAGAGTGTCACTCTTCGACCGCTAGTTGGCCGGTTATCTTTGGCTTGTGGTCGTGGTTTTGAATTCTGGAGTGAACATATGTGGATTGGAGATAAGGGCGCCCTCTCAACCTCGTGGGTTTACTCCAGGTACGCCGTTTTCTATGAGTAGCCTATATTTTATTTAGCGTGGATCAAGTCGTGGAAAATTGGATAGTTTGGTTTGCCTTGTCAGTGGGATGAATAGATCTCTGTCCCCCCCCCCCCCCATGATTTTGATCGCCAGGACAGATTTTCAGGTTTATATCCACATGATGGTGAGCTTGTTTCTACGTATCTGGAACTGAATCGGGACTTGGAACAAGAATTGTCATTCTTCAAGCGACAGTTTTCGGCCAAATCTATTTCACTTGTGCACGAAGCGTTCCTCGTTATGTCAAGTGAAGTGAGGCAGATGTTCCCTTCTGTCGAAGCTCTTCTCATCTCATACTGCTGAACCCTGCTAGTTCCTGCTCAGCCGAGCGATCCTTCAGCACTCTGCGCCGTATCAAAACTTGGATGTGCAACTCCATGATGCAAAACCGAATGAACCACTTGATGGCGTGTGCGGTGCATGTCGCCAAGAGAACAGTCCTGATCGTAGAACGAACGTCTTCGGACGATTCACTTAACTTCATGAACAATTAATACTTATGCAGCTTTGATGTAGGTAGTCAATTTTTCCATATTGTCATCATATTACCCCTAGTTGCAGCCTTCATCGAAATAACACTGGTACAGTAAACTGTTCGTAATTATTTATTCGTTTAGTAATGAAATGTTCCAGGTTCCAGAGTTCGTCCGCCCCCCCCCCCCCCAAAAGTTATGACAAATCCACGCCCTTGCCCAGCTGGTACCTGTAGGCTAGTGGATGTTAAATTTATTATAAATAATGGGATTACAAAACGGTGGTAGGCTTACAAGGTAGTTCCTTTAGGAACGGTCTCTGATCGCAAATGAAATGAAATGGGGGTTTAACGTCCTACTGTTCTGCTCCTAACCTGGGCTAATGAAGACAGGCAAACGTCATACAGTGTGCTATGAGGGAAACTTTGGCCGGGCAGTGGAACTATAGCCTACTCTTATCGAAGTCCAACTGCCAAGGAATCTTTCACGTGCACACCAGTGTATACACGGGAGCTTGTTTTTTTTTTGTCCCATCCAAACGACTAGACTGCTGTCCTCCTTGTCAGGCCCTCTGTCCTGGTCTCTGATCGGACGCTGTCCTGTGACCGTTTCTAAAGGAACTTGCCTACATGGCAACTTTATTATCCAACATACCTCTTTGATTTTTAGCTGAATTTCTTTTGACCAAAGTTCCACCCATTGACATGGCCGACATTTGATCATCATCAAGCCAGTCATCATCCTCGTCTACATCACTATCATCATCACTCTCATTATTTTGGTCCGCTTGAACGACAACATAGCCAGTTATTTCTTGTGTTGTCTGTCTTGCCGCCCCTGCGCCCCTTCGATACATTTCAAATCTGCTTCACACAAAACTGTTCAGATCTCGATAATGTTTACAACAACGTTTACAAACGACAACAACAAGAAACTAAAACTAGAACTTCCGCCCGCCGATCGATCGCGTTTACAAGGAGAATTATGGTCTAAGAGAGACAACTCCATTAAATGTTTTTTGAGTTTAACAATTTAGAGTCCGGTTGGGTGAGGGATCCGTTATAACGGCGGTGTTGTGAATTTATTTTTGTATTTTCTCATTGTGATATTTTCACATATATATCCAATTTTATTTTAGAATTTAACTCAATTCAATATAAGCATTTTTCAGTTTGGTTTCCCCATGTCAGTGGGCAGGATGGAGAGTCCGGCAAGAGAAAAAAAATGAAGCCTAGTCGTTGGGATGGGACAACAAACCAAGGAAGCATGTACATGTTAGTGTGCACGTAAAAGATAGAGATGTAGGGTTTAACGTCCACTCGACACATATGTTCGGGACTAACATATGGTTAAATTTTATTTCAATAATTTGCTTGCTTGTAGGGGGTATTTATAATTAGGAGGAAACTGGAGGACTCGGAGAAAACCCACGAGGTTGGACAGGCAACTTTACTCCTTGTTGCATACAAGCAGGGAATCAAAACCACGCCAGTTATCTCAATGACAGACCTTTTGATCTAAAGTGCATGCATTACACCATTCGGCCATCCACCCCCCAACACATAAAAAAGAACACTTAACAGTTAAAAATTTAATGAAGAGTAACAATGCAAAATATTCCTTCAAACACATTCAATTAAAAATATCTTTATTAGCCTGGTGCATGTTAAACCTCATTATAATTTCTTTGCGAATTATTAAAATTAAATCCTGATTATTGAAGCAGGTTTACACCTGGAGGTCTTGAGTTTTCTCCCAGTGTTAGCCGAGAAATTTTCTGACATGATTCCCCATTGTCAGTGATGCAGGTTGACTGTCATGATAAGCATTAAAAACATGTGACGTTTTCCATTTGACAGAGGGCACAAACACTATAATCCCATGCAACATCATTGTCGGACCTTCATTTATCACTTGCCATTTCAATTTCATAGTGAAGCTGTGCTAGATTTTCTAAGAAAAATAGAAAAGACGTACAGCAGCTATAAGGAGTGCTCCCTTCTGTACTTTTTAGGTACAACAAATAAGAAAGAAGTTATATCTTCTCATATTGTAAATTTTATTACATGAAAAACAAAACAATAACTGGTTAGATAAATATCACGGTATATATAATTACAGGTATATGTTATTTATACAAACAGAGCCTAAGATCAAGGTGTTGTCTGGGGTAAGGGGGAGGGATCAGGTGGTGGGGAGGGTAATTTACATATGTCTATCGATTCTGGGTTAGAATTACCTTACCTTTCCCTGAACCAATGTGGTATCTAATTCTAATTGCGGGAGAGAGAGGGTTTAACACAAACTAGGTCATTTTGGGACTAACATATGATACAAATTTATCTCAGTAGGTGTCTTTAACAGTGGAAGTAAACCAGTGATTAGGCAGGTGAACCTACTCCTTGTCATGTACAAGCTTGGAATCGAACCCACACCATTTGACTCAATGATCTAAAGCACACAAGTGACTCATTAGACCACTAAACCAATTCTGAAGGTAAACAATGAGGTCACGTGGGACAGATAGCTCTATGATGTCACTGTTAAATTATGCCCCTTTATCACTAGCGAAGACGTCCATTAAACACACTAATTAAAGAAGGAATTGAGATGGTATGTTATTTGATGGGTGAGCATGATGATGGTGGGAATACCCTAGTTCCAAACTAGGTTTTAAAAAAAAGGTTGAAAACCACCTGACATTGTCTGTGACAGGTGCCTTATTTCCAGACTTGAAAACCATCATCTTAAATCAATTAAAACAGATCTATATTCAATAAATAATTTATAAAAAAAATCACTTTTAAAATAAATATACATTCAAATAAAAAAAAACAATTTTATCACTGCTATAAAAACTGAGCACTTATTTAGGCAGGAAAAATTTATTTATACAATAAATCACATCAGCTGATTTTAATTTGGCTAATTATTTATGATTATGGTATAATTATATGTACACAGTATTAAAGATTAATTAATGGATTATAATTTACACATATGAAGATAGTAGGCCTATATAAATAGGCCCCTGTATCACAGAAGTAGGATACATCAGACTTGTATTGTTGTATTTGAGAATGGGTCTTTAACTTAATTTACAAATATTTTATGAGTGAAAACATCAACTAATATATAATATGATATATTCAAATAGATAATAGTGAAAAGATCAACTGATTAATGCTGTTAAAAGGAGTTTACTACGATATATTCAAATTTTAAAAATAAATATATATATACAATATCACAGTATTTCTAATTACAACATATATAAAGGAAGTGAAATGTCTACTGTAGTTGAAATTATATTTAGCAACTCATCGAAAAAATGTTTTTCAACCAATCAAAAGACTGAATACTGAAAATATTTTAGTTTAAGTTTTTGTAAAAAATGTTCCAGATTTAAAAATAGGATTTAATCTTTTTTTTTTGTTGCCGTATGTCAAATCACATGACACGTGGCAGTACAAGTTTAGATCCTTTAATGGGTGAAGATACGGCCGTCGTTAAAAGGTGGAGATTTTCTTGGACGTAATTTAAGGGTTTTCCGCGGTGACGAGGATCAGGATGTGGTCCAGCGATTGGTTTAGATGATGTTCCTCTAGGGGGAGAGTACTCCGGCAGCACACCTCGTACATCGTAACTCCACTGCATATCTGCCGTCTGTAATAAACAAATATAATAATAAATATAGGTTGCCAGGCAATGAAACAGCCATCCACCAGAAGTTTAGTCATCCCAAATGTTACAAGCTAAACAAGGGGCAAATCTTCTTTTTCAAATTGGATGAAGAACGCGGGGCATAACTCAGGATTCAGGAGGTTTCCATCGAAAATCTCTGAAACTCCACACTTTAAAGGAGAGAGAGATTTTATTTCAATAATTCGCTTGCGCGTAGGGGTCTTTAACAGTGGGAGGAAACTGGAGGACCCTGAGAAAACCGACGAGGCTGGACAGGCGATCCTACTCCTTGTCACGTACAACCGGGGAATCGAAAACAGGCCAGTTGACTCAATGGCGGACCTTATGATACAACACTCATGCGCTAACCATTTGGCCATCCACGTCACTCTCCCCCCACTTTAAAGGAGCTTAATCGCTATTCTGTTTTTACTGTAATTTCTAATCAGTTTGACTGAATCAAAAGCATTCCGTGGTGCTAATAAAGTTTTTTAATAAGGGGAACACCCTCGGAAGTTATCAAAATTCCAGAAAAGATTTCTTTCAATAAAATGAAATGAAATGGGGTTTAACATCCTACTGTTCTGCTCCGACTGGGCTAATGAAGACGGGCATACGTCAAACAGTGTGCTATAAGGGAAATTTTGCACTACGGCCTACTCTTATATCGAATACCAACTGTCAAGGGATCTTTAACATGCACGCCTATGTGTACATGGGGCCTCAGTAACAGCTAGACAGCTGTCCTGGTCCGGCCCTCCATCCTGCACCACTGACAAGGGGAAACCATGCCAGAAAATCTCAAACTTTTCTTCAATGGGGAAGACAACCAACATGCATGGGTACCATTTCTTTTATGAAGATTGGCACACTTTAATCAATACTAACACGCTCTATATGAACTTTGGACTACTTTTATAAACAGAGGCACTTTCTTTTGGTCAAAATGGGGCCCTTTTTTAAATGAACATGTAAAACTTTACACATTGCAGCTGCATGGTTCTGAATTCAGCACCTAACTAAAATCAACAGGGGCACACAACAGGGTGGTTTTAGGGCTGTGCAGCAACCCCCACCCCCTAGCTCCCCCAGGCTGAGTGCAAAAAGGCATATGGGTCAAGTGGCCCATATTTTGGGGGGATAATCGGTCGGTTTGTTGGAGTTTGTTACACATTCAATCAAATCAAAATGAGGCTTACAAATCAATATTCAACCGAGTCATTTACAAATTACATAATGCCATACTTAATGACTACTTTTCTACCTAACTGGGGGTAATAATTGATTTTCTATTGTTGAGTGTGCCAATTTTTTCATGGGGCACTCCCCACCCCCCAAGGAAAATATGTTTTTCCTACCTGTATGATGAGTTTTGACATGTACACCTTGCCATAAACTGTAGGTAGAAAATTAACAACAAACAGTGTTCCTTCCGTGTCATTTGGTAGTAGCTCTCCTGTCTGTGGAGATACAGATATTTCCTGGTCGCTACCATCAAGAAAGAATGCATTGAATGGAACAGGTTGCCTGAAAGAAAAACGATGTTCTGATCATGTGATCTTTATTGACTAATCAAATCATGTGTATTGGTATATACGTCTAGTTTTTGTTGTAAATCATGAAAATTTCAAAACTCAATTTCATATAGAAATGAAATGGGGTTTAAGGTCCTACTCCTACTCCCACTGAAGACGGGCTTACGCTATACTGTGTGCTATGAGGGAAATTTTGCCAAGGGATCTTTTACGTGCACACCAATGTATACACAGGACCTTGGTTTTTGTCTTACCTGAACAACTAGACAGGAAATCCTGATGAACTCACAAGGTCAGGCGAACCTACTCCTTGTCATGTACAAACTTGGTATCGAAAGTATGACACTTAACTCAATGACGGATATAAAGTGCTACCAAAAGACCACTTGTTCATTTATTTATTTATGTTTTCAATAATTTGCTTGGATTCTATGGAACAGGTAAGAAACCATAGTATTAATCAGAGAAAAAAACACAGTAAAAACAACCTGTGAATGCGTGGGAAGAACTACCAACATTCGACACCTCCTTCCCCCCCCACCCACCCTGAAGAAGAATAATTGACCACTTACATAGATTGACACCTCCTTCCCCCCCACCCACCCTGAAGAAGAATAATTAACCACTTACATAGATTGACACCTCCTTCCCCCCCCACCCACCCTGAAGAAGAATAATTAACCACTTACATAGATTGACACCTCC